AAAAGGGGGGGGGCACGCAGGGTGTTAAGGGGCACCTTACGTGATCCGAGGCCGTCTGGCCGTCTCTCCATGGGGTTCCGCCACAGCCTTCATCACGAGCCAGTCCACTTCCTGCCATCCCACAAACTGCTCCGCTCCGCTCCCCGACCTGTGAGCCGCTCCAGCCGTCCCCACTAACAGCTCCCCTCGCCATTCCTTGGGCCGCTCACTGCTCCACCAGCCGCTTAGCAATATAGCTTCAGGCTCCCCCACTAGTTAACACAGCCTCAGTGATCTCAGCTCTTAATAACTTTAGCTCTTTTGTGATTTCAGCTCTTAGCAATTTCAGCTCAGGGAGCCCCAGTGCTGGTGCACCATTGGCCCAAAGTGAATTCAGCTCAGCAGCCTGTAACTAGACTCCTAATGGAATCAAAGTTAGCTCTGACATTCAACCGTGGAGAGAGGAGATGATGCAATTGGTGTGTCCAGCCCTCAAACAAAGCCCAGATACAAATACCTCTCTCCATTCACTGGGTTTTGTAACCCATGCCCTTTGTCTAACAAGTGCTACTTAATTACTGGTGAGTCTCTGTCATACAACAGTTCTACTGGCCTTGATTCACAGAATCAGGGTAACAAAACTTTATTCTTCCTGCCCCAGTAACAGAGAAACTGGGGATCCCACACCAGCGAAAGTAACCACTTTGAGTTGCTGTTGTTTCATGCCAGGCGGGTGGGTGTGCCTATGCAAACAAGATCAGCCCCTGGAGTTCTTTCCACACTCGCCATAATTCCCCACCAGATGTCAGGGTAGAGCTCATCCTGACTCCGCTTACATATATATTCCCCAACAGCTTTCCGGTTTTTTGCAATGCACTGTACAATCTTGTCACTTCCTTCTGTGGCTTGATTTTCACTTACACTTCAGCATGTGAAAGCACTGCTTTGCTTCTCATATCCTGCTACTGCCTTTGTGATCGATTCAATCTTGTCTGCTTCATCAAGAAAGGTTCTTCTCGTGCTTCGTTTGAAAATGTTGTCAAACACTTGCTGTGCGACAAACAACACTTTCACAACCGAAAGCACAACCAGCTCAGTCCTTCTTTTGAATAAATCCAAATGTGTCTGTCCAAGAAGGCTGAAATGAATGGACATCTAACTTTGCTTTTTTACGAGCTGACATTTTGTCAAATGTACCCCTCAACTTACAGTGGGGAAAAAAATCGTGACTGACGGCACACACAACGTCAAACGCAATGCGCTGTTCCACGTGACGTGACAGTGATGTAAGTAGCAAATCAGGACTTAAAAATATCCCAGTACAGTGGCGCTGGAACGACTTTTAAGGTGGGGGTGCTGAGCTGTGCCCCCTCTTGCCCCTGTCTGCACCCCAGTGAGCCACAGCTGGGGGCGGCTGCAGAGTCCCGGGCCACTGGCCGGGACCCCAGGATGGCAACAGAGCCCCCGGGACCGGTGGCCGGGACCCGGGCAGTGTGAGTGCCACTCAAAATCATCTTGCATGCTGCCTGTGGCACGCGTACCATAGGTTGCTGACCCCTGCTCTACCATATACTCTGGAGGGGGGTGTAGGAAAATTCCAGGGTAGGCCCTGGTTGTGCAGTGGGACACGCCCTCCTTGGGGTAACGTCGGTATGTGGAAGAGTGAAGGAGGCGAAGTTGGGGCTGTTGTTGGGCAGGCGTCCTCACATACCGGCACATGGTAGATGCAAAAAGAAGAACAGGAGTACTTGTGGCACCTTAGAGACTAACAAATTTATTAGAGCATAAGCTTTCGTGGACTACAGCCCACTTCTTCGGATGCATATAGAATGGAACATATATTGAGGAGATATATATACACACATACAGAGAGCATGAACAGGTGGGAGTTGTCTTACCAACTCTGAGAGGCCAATTAAGTAAGAGAAAAAAACTTTTGAAGTGATAATCAAGCTAGCCCAGTACAGATAGTTTGATAATAGGTGTGAGAGTACTTACAAGGGGAGATAGAGTCAATGTTTGTAATGGCTCAGCCATTCCCAGTCCTTATTCAAACCGGAGTTGATTGTGTCTAGTTTGCATATCAATTCTAGCTCAGCAGTCTCTCTTTGGAGTCTGTTTTTGAAGTTTGATACCTGGGGTTATAGACCAAGTTCCCGGGTATGTTCCTGTATCTCTTAATTGAATGTTCTGAATGCGAATCGACGCGCTCCATCTACCCTGCAGGTCAGTGAACTCTACCCGGCTTGTCCAATCCCCGCCTGTTTTTACAATTCCATTGAAGTAACTAATCAGTGTCCCCTGCTCAAAACCAGTCCCAGAAAACTGTATCGGCCTCAAGCTTGTGGGCTTGGACAACACGTCCCAGAGTCAGATCCTCCCCCACCACTCCTGTGAGATATCGCTCCGGTCCTAACCTCTCACGCCCCTGGTCCCTGCCAGCAGACTTAGCTGCCCGTCGTCCCGCTGCTCTTCCAGGCAGCCAAGCCTGCAGCCCCTTCTTCTCCTGCTCCATACAGAAACTAACTACTGCGCTGGTCTGCAGCTTCTTTTATATGGCCCTCCTGGGCCCTGATTGGCTGCTTCCCCTGCAGCCACTCTAGTCTGCTTGGAGGATCTCTCCACTGCTCCTTTCCTGGGATGGGTGGGGCAGAACCCTGAGGTTTGTAGCTTGTCACAGCATCACAGTGTGAGAGGGAGCCCAGGTTGGGAAGCCAAAGGGCGCAGCCGTACCCCAGTTCCAGGTTGCACCCCAGGGAACCCGTCACAGTGGGTGGGAGTCCGGACTCCTGGCTTCTGTCCCCAGCTATGGGATGGGAGAGGGGTTGGAGCAGTGGGGCTGGGAGTCCAGACTCCTGGGTTCTATCCCCAGCTATGGGATGGGAGAGGGGTTGGAGCAGTGGGGCTGGGAGTCAGGACTCCTGGGTTCTATCCCCAGCTATGGGATGGAAGAGGGGTTGGAGTAGTGGGGCTGGGAGTCCGGACTCCTGGGTTCTATCCCCAGCTATGGGATGGGAGAGGGGTTGGAGCAGTGGGGCTGGGAGTCCGGACTCCTGGGTTCTATCCCCAGCTATGGGATGGGAGAGGGGTTGGAGCAGTGGGGCTGGGAGTCAGGACTCCTGGGTTCTGTCCCCAGCTATGGGATGGGAGAGGGGTTGGAGCAGTGGGGCTGGGAGTCCGGACTCCTGGGTTCTATTCTTGGTTCTGCCCCTTTGCCCATGGGGGATGGGGACCCTCCTCTCACTCCGAGGGCTGAGCGGCTCCTCAGACGCTTTGAGATCCCAGCTGGCCAGCACTAGAACAGGACCAAGCCTCATCCCTTCTCCAGGGTCTCTCAGAGCACGGGGGTCGTGGTCCTTCGAACTCTGACCCAGCAGCCCCATTTGGCCTGTGGTTGGGGAGTCTCTGGGGCTGGATGGGGTTAAAAGGAACAGGCACCACCACACACACACCCCGTGTAACCAGCGCTGGGGCTGAGCTTTCGCAATTTCCAGAGAAAGGGGAAGTTTCTCTGCTGCAGCCAGACAACAAAGTGAAAGGCTCCCACAGGAAAAATGGTGCGTGGAGCCAGAACTCCGGAGTCCTGACTCTCAGCCCCCTACTCTAACCACTAGACCCCACGCCCCTCCCCCAGCTGGGGATAAAAACCAGAAGTCCTGATTCCCAATCACTGTAACCACTAGACCTTATTGCTACCAAACCAGGAAGTATGTTGCCTTTAAAGCCCAGGAACAAACTGCCATGGTTCCCTTTCCTCTCCTGAGCCACCAACCACTCACGGCGCCCGGGGCTATTGCCACAGATGTAGATGAATATGATTCCTCATTACCTGCCCACAACCTCCCTGCTCACCCGTTAGTGTCAGCGGTGGGATCAGACCAGAGTCCCAGCTGCTAACCCAGGCCCAGGGCCCAGGTAAGAGCCACTTTCCCTTGTTTTGGGGCAAAAAGCAGAGTTGGGAAGAATGATTCTTTGCATCTCTAAATGTCTGAAAGGAAATTAAACGGTGAGAGTTTCTTATGGGAGGGGCCGCAGCTAAGATCAGGGCCCGCCGTGCCAGGCACAGCCCAGACAAAGCCAGAGACAGTCCCTGCCACAAAGAAATTACACTTAAAATAGACAATAGGTGGGAGAGAAAACTGAGGCACAGAGAGGAGCAGTGACTGACCCGCTGTTGTATGGTGGGTCCATGACAGAGCTCTAGCCTGGGCCACACTGTCACACTGTAACTGGGGGTAGCATTGAAAATACACCGGGGGCTCCCCAAACCCGGCGTGAGAGCCAGTCTCTGCCTGACGAGCTCACGGTGTAAGATCTGGGGACTGAACACGGCAGGGCAACATTGCCCTGCGCCGTTAAACAGCTGCCGTGCCCCACCCCAGAGCAGGCTGCATTTCACTGCGGGTTGAAAAGATCAACAACTGGGCAGGCTGCGAAGGTGTCTGAGATCATAAGGGGGAGACCACACGAGACTGATCAACTGTTCAGAGACGGAGCCTGGTGTTTGGGGGAGAATTGGGGGCTGGGAGCCAGGACTCCTGGGTTCTATCTCAGCTCTGCAAAGGGAAATTTATTTTCAGACACACCCGGGTACTCAGACCCTTGCTGGCCAGTTGCCCCATTACCCAGAGAGAACGTTCTCAGAGCGGTCTGGTAACATCAGACACTGGCTCTGCCCAGGCCCTGGTCACAGAGACACAGAGACGGGCCCCCGATAAACAATCCATCTATCGGAGAGGAAGGAGCAGAGGAAGCGCTGGGGGTGCGGAGCTGCAGGATGGGCCAGGAGGGTTCAGCAGGGGGCGCTCTCCTCTCACAGTCAGGGCTGGCCCCAATGCCCCAGGGTGACGCTGGGGGGGGGGCTGTGCTGAAAGGAGGGGGGCTCTGTAGGGGTCTCTCCCCTCGCAGTCAGGGCTAATCTCTGCTTCTGGGGCTTTGCTGTTCCCGGCTGAGACCCTGCCCCCTTGTGCCTGTGATACCCTTTCCCCACCTGGCTGTCTCCCAAGGGGTCAGGACGTCTCCCTGGGGTCCCTGCCACATCCCAAAACGGTTTGTTCCCTTCCCCCTCCCTGATTCTCCCTGCACATGTCAGCTCCACATAGGAACTGTCCTCCGGTCCTGCCCTGAAACTGCCCTCTGCGTTTCTGTGAGCTGCCAAACAGCTGCGCGTCTCTCCCCAGAGGTGGCTGCATTTCACCCGAGGCCATGAGCCCTGCACACACGGCCCGCTAGGCACACGGGGATAGAAATGCCACCAGTCCTTGTTCTGTCAGGCCAATCTCCGAGCTTTACTCCCTTCTGGTTAGGAAATTCTTTTACGAAGGGCCCTAGGTGTAAAATACCTGGTCGTGCAGCCTATCCCGCGGCCAGGCGCCATTGCCCGGCGCAGACGAGCTGTCACCCAGACATGCTGCAGGTGACTCATTCCCGTCCCCTTTCCCCTCCCAGGCCGGCTGAGCGCTCTGTCCTGGACGGAGATGGCCTTGGTGCTGGTCCCTGCCTTTTGCCTTCTGAGCGGTGAGTAATTCGCACAGACGCGACGCGCTGCCGCCCAGGGGACCGGTGGGGACCGTTTCCCAGCCCTGGGAGTGCGTCTACACTGCCAGGAGGGGGCTCGGAACCGGGTTCATCGCAGGGACATCCCAGCCACTCACGCCAGCGGCTCCAGGTCAAGCCTAGGGGGTGTCTGGCCTTGAACCTGACCCCGAGTGGTAACAGTCGTCTCTGAATTCCGTTGGTATCGATCGTATCGTCACCCACCGGGTCTGGCTCTTGGCTGGCTTTTAGCAGCATGGGGGAATCTGTCTGTCTTGCGGGGTTTGTGGGATCGAAGGTTTTTGTGGTTGGAAGGGGGATGAAAATGCAAAAAGCAAAGCCGGGCCCTTGGACAGAATTAAAACCATCCCCGCTTAGGGCTCTGGTCTGAGGCCCGATGTGTGGTGCCCCCCACTGGCAGCTGCGCCCCCCGGGCAGACCCAGCGCTCCCCGTGTCTCAGGCCAACGTTTGCTGCTCTCCCCCATTGCCACGACCCCTCATTGCCCCGGTGAGCCGAGCTCCCAGGCTGGGCCGCGCCCACCCCCTGGGGCTGCTCCCCGCTCTGCAGCCAGGCCACGGCCCCTGGGAGCACTGCCAGCCCCAGGGCCCCAGCAGGGATCAATGGTTCCTGACCCCTCCTCTCCTCACAGACGATCGGTGCCAGCCCTCCCTGGGGCGCCGAAGGGAACCGGGACCCTCCCTCACCTGCTCCGTGGGGGCCGCCTGCCCCCATCGCCCCTCCTGGTACGACCAAGATGGCGCGCGGCGAAGCCCAGGGCAAACCCCGGGCGGGGCTGGGGTGACCGAGCTGCGAATATCCCCGTCCCAGCTGGGCCCCGGCGCTGCGCTGAGATGCCAGGTGGATGGATACCGGGATGAGTGTGACTCTGACCAATTCCAGCCCCTGGGGACAGGTGAGCTCTGCTGCTAGACATGGCATGGGTAGAGCGGGGGGGCTGGGAACCAGGACGCCTGGGTTCTCTCCCTGACACGGGGAGTGGAGCAGGGATATGGTTAGAGTGGGGGCGGAGCTGGTGATCAGGACTCCTGGGTTTTGTCGCTGAGACGGGGAGGGCAGTGGGGTCTAATGGGTGAATGCAGGAAGGGTGGGAATCAGGACTCCTGGGTTTTATTGTCTGAAAAAAAACTCTCATTTGGCTCTAGCAAATATTCTTGCCCCATGGGACTGGACGGGGAGGGACCTGCCCCTTCGTTCAGTCCCGGGGCCCGCTGACGAACTCTCACCGACTCTCGCCCTCAGTCACCCCCAACGTGCCCAGGGTCGAGGTTTCGTGGCCGGCAGGGAAGGCAGCGCTAAGGGAAGGCGACGGTTTTACCCTGCGCTGCCAGGGTGCTGCGCCGCGGCCTCCCGGGTACGTCTGGTCCCACGGGGACGTGTGGCTGCCAGAAGCCAGGCAGGATTTACGTGTTGACAAGGCAGCCGGCTCTGATGGAGGGAGTTACGCCTGCGGGGTCTGGGTCTCCGGCCCCGGCTGGGGGTATCTGAGCCTCTCTGCGAGGGAATCGGTCGAAGTTCAGCGTAAGTGGTGAGGGCTGGCGAGAGCCTCCTCCCTCGCAGCCCCCGATCCTCCCCACATGGCCTCCTGGAGCAGCCCCGTGTGCCCCCACCTCGTCCGCTCTGCTTCGTCCCCTCCCGCCTCGTCCCCACCCGCCTCGTCCCCCCTGCTTCATCCCCACCCACCTCGGCCCACCTGCTTCGCCCCACCCGCCTCGTCCCCCCTGCTTCACCCCGCGCACCTCGTCCCCCCTGCTTCGCCCCGCCCGTCTCGTCCCCCCTGCTTCGTCCAGTCCCCCTTACCCCCCTTGCTTCGCCCCGTCCCGCCTTGTCCCCCCTGCTTCGTCCCCGCTCCCCTCGTACACCCTGTTTCACCCCACCTGCCTCATCCCCTCCGACCTCCTCCCCGTGGTTCGCCCCTCCCACCTCATCCCCACCCCCCTCGTCCCCCCTGGTTCGCCCCCTCCCAGCTCGTCCCCCCTGCTTCATCCAGCCCCCCTCGTCCCCTCTGCTTCGCCCCTCCCACCTCGGGGGCCCTGGTGTCAAATTCCTCCCCCGCCTCCTAATCACCACATTTGGTCAACTCCAGTGCTGCTGGCTCCAGGCTGGACCCCTTCCCACACCTGCCCAGGGCCCCCAGCCCCCTCCGGGCCCCTGCCCATCCCCCCACCTGACCTGGGGCCTCATTCCTGTCTGGGCCAGGCCCTACCCACCCTCCCCGGCGCCCACATACCTTGAGCCCCCAGACCCTTCTGGGGGTCCCCCTGCCCCTTATCCCTCCGCCACCCTGCCTGTTCTGGCCCCCTGGAGTCACATGGGCCAGGCCCTGCCCCTCACCCCCTGCCCTGAATCCCTTCCCCGCTCTGGGACAGGTCCCCCCACTCTGTCTCCCCAGAGCCCCTCCCACTCGTCCGAGTGTCGTTTGCCTTTCCAGTGGCGATGATCAGGGGAGGGACCCCACCAGCCGGCAGGGTTCCCATACGCGTGTCTGTTAACCACACGCGGCAGCCAGGCCGAGCTACCCGCACGCACGGCTGCCTCCGAAAGCGTGAACATGGTGAGCGCCCCAGAGGCTCACCGCCTAGTTAAAGTGACACCAGCCTGGGACACACAACCCCATTTTTCTCGTCCTTTCCCCGCTCCTTACTCCTCCGTTTCCAGACGCCCCTAAAGGCGCGAACATCACGGCCACACCCGGCGCTGACCTGCACAAAAGGGACCCGGTGAATGTAACCTGCCGTTCAGTAGCCGTGTCCCCACCGACGCCACCTCACCTGGGACAAGGATAACGCCAGGCTTGGGGGGTCATAGCTGGAGCTGGCGCTTCAAGGCGTCACAGCGACTCATGCTGGGGAATATCACTGAGAGGTTCAGAACCCGACTCGCTCGCCCCCTGGCACCATCACCATCCCCTCAAGGTCCTGAGAGTCCCTGGCTGGGGACACCCAACACACAGGCTGGCAAACCCTTGGGCTGTGGGTTCTGATCCCGCCGGGCTCCATGCTGCCCGTGTCAGGCCATGCTGGGCCGGGCTGTCAGCGCCCCTCACCGGTAGGGTTACCATATCTCATAAATAAAAAAAGAGGACCCTCCACGGGCCATGGCCCCGCCCATTTCCCCACCCCAGCCCCGCCCCAACTCCGCCCCTTCCCCCACCCTAACTCCGCCCCCTCCTCCCTCCCACTCCCAGCCAGGGGGAAAGGGCTGCCCGAGCGCTACCAGCTTCACGGTTTGCCGGGCAGCCCCCAGACCCTGCGCCCCCAGCCGGCACTTCCCCAGCGCAGCTGGAGCCCGGGAGGGGAAGCGCCCAGCCGGGGGCGCAGGGTCTGGAGGCTGCCCAGCAAACCGTGAAGCCGGTAGCGCTCGGGCTTTGGGCAGCCCCTATGCCTCCGGACCCTACGCCGCCGGAGCCCCGGGGGGGGAGGGGCCGGCCG